TCTATTGTGAAGGTCACATTTTCCAGCTACTGATACTTCTTCTTTTTTGTTTCCAATTTTTTTGCATTCCAATCACCAGTAATTAACAATGCATCTTGATTGCATATTTGGTCAATTTCAGACAGCAAAAGGTGGTGAAATCTTCAGTTTCTCCATCTTTGGCTTTAGTGGTTTGTGTGTAAATTTGCATAACTGTTATTTTAACTGGTCTTCATTATAGATGTCTAGATATTATACTACCACTGACAATATTGTATTTCAAGATACATAGATCTTGAAATGCTCTTTGTGATGGTAAATATGATATCACTCTTGTTCAATTTGTCATTCCTGGCATAGTAGATCATATGATTGTTAGATTCAAAATGGCCAATACCAGTCCATTTCAGCTCACTGCCCAGGATATCAATCTTTATACATTCCATCTGATATTTGACAACTTCCAATTTTCTTAGATTCATAATTCATACATTCCATGTTCTGATTATAAATGGATTTTTGCAGCTGTATCTTCTCATTTTTTGTTATGCCACATCAGCAAATGAAGGTCTAGAAAACTTTACTTAATCCATGTCATTAAGATAGACTCTACTTTGAGGAGGCAGCTCTTCCCCATTTGTATTTGTAGGACCTTCCAACCTGAGGGCCTCATCTTCCCGTACCATATCTGACTATGTTTCACTTTTATTCATAACGTTTTCTAGTAATATATCAGATGATGATTCACTGCTATTCATAAGGTTTTCAGTGTCCACTTTTTTTAGAAGTGAAGAGCACCATTTTTATTCCCTATCTGTCTTACTCTGGAAACTCTTCTGAAATCTGTCTGCCATGGGTGATCCTTCTGGTACTTGAAATAATGGTGGCATAGTTTCCAGCTTCACTGAAACATGCAAGCCACCTCAGTACAAACTGACAAGAGAGTTGGGGACAGTGAATATTAATAGACAACTTTTTATAGATTTATTGCCAGTATTTATAAAGTTTTACATGTATTCAGGCCAATTCTCAGAGGAGAAATTATTTTGTATTGAACACTTTTCAGACTTTACATACAGTTCTCTCATAACAATAAAGTGTCATGATAAAATGGCAAAAGTGTCCAACACATTAAACAATAATATTATATTACTATCCTAAATATCAATTCTCAAATAATACTAATGCTCAAATAGTCTCAAATAACCATATCCTTTCCTGAAATAAATGTACTTCCATTATTAGTTAAATTAATTCTACATTCACTAATGTATCATTAACCTACAACACATTTTATTCAGATCTCAAAGTTGTATGTCAAAATCGAGATATTACTATAAATGTGGTCTGAGCACCTGGATATTATATGGTAAAAGCTGTGCCCAAGAAAGACAAAATGTTCTTCTTTTTCATTGAAACATTTTTTTTTTTTCTACAGCTGCTCATCTTAGAAAGCTATAAGTGTGATTGCACCCCTGTCTAGCTCCTTATTTCGATTAAGATGGTGCCACAGATGGCCTGTGCTGGCATGCCAGGATTAAATTATTATTTTCATCCAAAGAACTCTTCCCAGGGAAGTGTAGCAGATTTCCT